CCTATGCATTTTTCTAAAATCGGGTTTTATTCGAACTTTTGCTAACGACAAAAGTTTATCTGTCGTCTCTGTCTCCGGGAACTGCGCGTCACAAAAATGAACCGAAAGCCACTTCAGCTCAGTCACTATAAGAAATCGGCTCTGTCTAATGCCTTTAAATGTCTAAATATTCAGGCTAATAAATGTTATCTGATTATGTAATCCATATGAAAACGAGAGGTACAGAGGATCTACTCAAACATGTAGCCTATGTAAGCGCTTCCCAATGAGAAAATGACAAGGGTGAAAATCTCGCTCTAATGAAATGTAGCAGGCTAAATCGCCCTGAATTAAAATGTAAAAACAGATCAAATAATGTATTTGTCGAAATGTTGCGATATTGTTTCATTTAAGTTCATAATTATTCTATAGGCCTACATGTTATTTAATTTAGCAGCATTACCACGAAGCACCGTGGTTCGATATTTATTTGAATAATAAAAAAAATAATAAAAACTTAATTCACAAATTGCATGCCTGGTTGAAAGGATCCAAAGATCCCTGTAGAATTTAATATTAAGTTGAACATTTTGTTCATGACAACAAATGAACATGCGTTTTTTCAGATTATATTTAGTTTTGCTTGGAAAAAGCTGGCCCAAACCAGTTTTATTTCATCAATTATTGAAATAATGAAATATTTAGTAATAAACTTTTATGACAGAAATTTCACTAGGCTACATGTAACTTAAATCATTTAATTCCTTCATTATCAACACTGTCTAGAATAGCGATTTAAGTGTGAATTACGACTTCTCTTTGTGTTAAATCAGCCTCAGACTCCGATAGCCTGTGGGGGGTTGGGGGACAGTTCAGTGCTGTGCGCGCAGGACAATAGGCCTAGGTGTTAATGTTCCTCTTTCATATGGAGAGCGAGGGAGACTAAATAAACTTGTTAAAAAGAGATTCAGCGCGAGAGAGGCAAAGAAAAACGCATGTTTTAATTTAATTATGTTGCTTTGGACAATTTTCGTTTTGTAGGCCTACTGTTTTAATTGTTTAATGTCATTTATTTGGCAATACAAATTTAAAATGTCGCAAGAATAATATTAGCCTAGTGTTTCTTATTTTGCATCGCAAAAGAAATAAACTCTAAACCCGATGCAACCCTGTTTTAAATAAAAAAAAACACTTTATTTAAACCTTGAAATGTTCGAACTTGGTTTCAAACTTAAGTAATTTTAGTGTTCTTTTACATTACACAATAATTTAGCAGACTAAAGACGAGCTTCTTCATTTTCATTTTCTGATGCAATCGGCTGACAATCTTCCTTCATCAGTTTGTGTCCTTTGTGCAGCGGCTGCGGTTCTACTGGAATGTAGCAAATTTATGTTGTAATGATAATTAAACAAAACTCTTGACTTTAAATAAGTAAACAGTTATAAACAGTTAGCTATTTAAGCATCAAGAAGGTAAAATATAAACGCTGTTGGCCAACATCGGTTAACAACATGTATGCCACATTGAGATTCGATCTCGGGTCGATTGAAGCTCCCTGAAGCTCGTGTTGATGCGTTGATCACTGAGCCACCGTTTGTACGCTGTTAGAGTTAAAGTCTTATGCTTTTGTAAAGCTTCATTGATGTAGCCTAAATGTTTTTATTGCAATGTTTTATGTTTTCATTATTTATTCAATTTCATTTCAGTATTTCAGCCTAATTTCAGTATTGTGGTAATGAATTATTTTAACTACGTTTCACTTGTTGAATTCATCTGCTACCAGCTTTCAATCGCTCTGAATGAGCAGCAGATTACGCATTAGAGAGAATAAACGAACACTTTTCAGAGTCTATGATTGTAGCGCCTCTTAGCGGTAAAAGGTAGCAAATACACCCCACATTTTACCGCCGCGGTGGAACGGCTGATGTGGGCGTTGTCATGGCTTTCCTCTACATTTGCGTTTGAATAGCGCGCGTTCTCCGTGGGCGTGTCAGATTAACGCGTAATGAAGTGTAATGAGCTGGGGAAAAAAATTCTGACAGCACTCTCTTTTCATACAGATTACATAAACTGAGAATATTTGTTTTTTATATAAATTACTTCATTGAAAAGAAGAGAATTCAAGCTTAATAAAGAAAAATCTCTCGTGCCTGTGTGACAAGTATTTGCAGAGTTAGAGTTAATTTTTCGGACGCGTTTCAGAATGGACTGCACTGACAGAGAGAAGGCAAAACTCGCATCATGTTTATTTTTCTTCATTTGACAAAAAGCACAACACTTTGTTTTTATTGTGAGTATACAGAAAAATAATATACACTAAACAGGATCGACTGATGTATAACACTTACATGTAAGATTAAAATCAACAGAGTATTTAGAGTCTCTTTTGCACTGATAAGAAAAAAAGTCTGCCTATCGCGCCGGCGCGATAGCCGACCCCAGGGGGTTAATAGTTAATTCAATATGAACTTATGATTAGTGAAGATATGAACTAATCACAAAACACTGAAGAGCGATCCTTAACTATGACATGAGTAATAATGATTCATGCATGGATAACAGTAGCTGTAAACATGTTATTACATGTTAGATAGATAATGTTATATAAAGTTTAGGGGTAAACTAAATAAAGTTTAGTGGTAAACTAAATCAATCAGGCTCCATAAGAATAAAAAATAAATATTTTGACTTTGAAATACACTTAAACAATCATAATTTAAACTATTGACATCAGCAGCTTCATCATAAACATTACTGAAAGGCATATAATTAGTTTGTCATTAGGTTCACTGATCCTCCTTATCAAAAATAAAAAAATACTAAATAGACCAATAATTTGTCTTAAAAGGTCCTAATTTGTTTTGGGATATTCTTTCCCATCAAACTAAATCTAGTGTGACTTACAACAGTTCCTGAGGAATCAGTTCCCAAAAAAATATACCCAAACAGGAAGCATGAACTAAGGTCAAGGAACATTTGCTCGGATCAGTTGTTCACTCTCCATTCAGACACAGGTCGTGATAATACTGTTCATCCGTTCTGACTCTTTTAAAAGCCACACAACATCACTTAACTGGGCTGAATACTAGTTGTAGTACATGTGTATTTGATAGTACATTTATGATAAACCATGAGCTGAAATTGGTAAGTAGTGTTGTGAACTTTCTCTTCTCAAGTGTAGGAAACTCAGAAGCGAAGACCAGGAGACTTGGTGGTATCTTCAGCAGGATTCTTTATTGAAAACCTGAGCTGTTGGTAGCTGCAATCATCGTCAAGTCTAACTAAGGCAGTATATATTGTAGTTTATATACCTTTCAAGGGGGAGGGATTACATAGAGGTGGAGACACTCGAACAAAGCATGTAAATGAAGTACAGGATTCAGCTCGTTACCGGAAATTCCCCAGCCCTGATCACTCAAACCTTAAAATTATCATAGAGACAAAGGCCCAGCTGTACTTTGAGAAGTGACAAAAGGTTAATGTCAGCAAGCAGGATTGCTTGACTTAATCTTCTTTAAATCTCATCATCAATGCCTCAAAATGGAAAACACTGTGTACAGTTTAAATACTATTGTATTGGAACCTAATTAAACATTTAATAAATGTGTAACACAACATTAGTTAACAGTGAATTAAATATGATGTGCCCCCTCAAGTAAAGTCATGACACAGTCATGCAATAACAAGCTATTACTTTATGTTAGTGTATGGTTAGTTAATAATGAATTAATTATGATGTAAAGTCATGACACAATGATGCACTTACAAATCATAAATGTTTCTTCATATTTTAGTTTATGATTTGTCAAAGATACAAATTGTGTAGTTATTTTATTTTTATTTATACAATTAAACATATGGACTTAAAAGAAAGCCCAAACATACCAGTAAAGACACACATAAGGCACATTTTCATACAAAATAGGCCATAAGCTATAAGCTAATGCTATTCTAAGTATATATACATTTAAACAACTAAAAATACAGTTAATTACTGTACATAACCTCCTGAAAACCCCCAAATACAACATACATGCAAACATGTCTTTAATTATTAATTCTGTTTACCAAAGCAGTCAATAAGATTAAAATGCCAGCATAACCATAGGAACACAACTAATTTGCCTAAGAAACTAAGTAGCTATTATTAAACATAGGCCTACATTAACTATAAAAATCAGAAAACAGTTTACCTATTAGCAGTGTTGTGCAAGTTACTTCCAAACTGTAATACATTATATATTACTTGTTACTGTTATTTAAAAGTAATTCTTTACCTTACAATATTACTAACTCAGAATTCTAATCCGTTTCATTACTCTTGTATCACTTTTGAGTTACTTTCACCAAAATAACTACGGAAGTAGAACTTAACATTCTAAAAAGACTAGGGCTGTAATGATATGCGATATGAAACCGAAATCGCGACACTCAGATCCACGAACCTGTGTCGCAGTGTGAGAAGGCAGAATCGCACACCCCTTCCAACTCCCCGAGTTATCCTTCCCGTCCAGATCCAATGCTACCAGATCTTTAAATTACTATTAGTATTATTTGAAGTTAACATTATAAAATACGTAGACCAACACCACAACACTAGTTGAGGATAAATTCTTCAAAATTGGGCAATTCCAGCATTATGGAAGTGACATTCGCAGTAAAAACTTGAAATATAAATTGTCAGAAAATGCATTTAATACCAATATATTGAAACGTCTGTTTATATATCCATAAATAACTCCCTTAATAAAGGAGTCTTTATTAGTTTACCCCTGAATGTTAATTAATGCATTAACTATAAAACATGTAATAACATGTTTAAGGCTACTGTTGTTTATGCATGAATCTTTATGACTCCTGTCGTAGTTAAGGATCACTCTTCAGTGGTTCATGATTATTTCATATCTTCACTAATCATGAGTTCATGTTGAAGTAACCATTAATTCAGGAATTAGTACATGATTATTCATGTCCTGTTATTGTACAGTGTTACATGTGAATCTAACAAAACATTTGCTCACTATGACACAGAACAATGCTTTTTAATATGAGTCCTTAGATTACTTAATTTGGTGAAACTCTTCCAACACTGAGTACAGTAGTACGGCTTCTCTCCAGTATGAACTCGCTCGTGTGATTTTAGAGAATCGGAATGAGAGAAACTCTTGTCACAATATGAGCACTTATAAGGTTTTTCTCCAGTATGAGTTCTTTGGTGCCGTTTCAGATGCTCAGCTATAGTAAAGCTCTTCCCACAGTCACAACATACATGCTCTTTCACTTCATTGTGTGTTTTCTGGTGCTGTTTAAAACAGAACATCCTTGAAAAACTCTTTCCACAGACAGAACACACATAAGGCCTCTCACCTGAATGAACTTTCAGGTGATCTTTTAGATTTGATGATGAAATAAAATCTTTACCACACTGATCACAGTGAAATGTTTTTTCTCCAGAGTGAATGAGCAGATGAACACTGAGAGTTGATGAACAAGAAAAACTCTTTCCACACTGAGTGCATGTATACGGTTTCTCTCCAGTGTGAATTCTCATGTGTATCTTAAGTGTTCTTTTCTCTGTGAAACTCTTCCAACACTGAGTGCAGTCGTACGGCTTTTCTCCAGTATGAACTCGCTCGTGTGATTTTAGATATTCAGACCGAGTAAAACACTTGTCACAAGATGAGCACTTGTAAGGTTTTTCTCCAGTATGAATTCTTTGGTGCTCTTTCAGACATCCAGCTCTAGTAAAGCTCTTCCCACAGTCACAACACACATGATCTCTCACTTCATTATGTGTTTTCTGGTGCTGTTTAAAACTGTCCAGCCTTGAAAAACTCTTTCCACAGAGAGAACACACATAAGGCTTCTCATCTGAATGAACTTGCAGGTGATCTTTTAGATGTGATGATGAAATAAAATCTTTACCACACTGATCACAGTTAAATGGTTTTTCTCCAGAGTGAATGCGCAGATGATAACTGAGACCTGATTCACCAGTGAAACTCTTTCCACACTGAGTGCATGTATACGGTTTCTCTCCAGTGTGAATTCTCATGTGTATGTTAAGGTTTCCTTTCCGTGAGAAACTCTTTCCACACTGAGTGCAGGTGTGCGTCTTTTTAGCTTTTTTTCTTTGAATTGTAAAGTTATGATGTTCCTCTTCCACTTCATTCAGTTCTTGTCTTTGCTCTTTCACTCTCACCTGGTCTAAAGAAATACAGAAATACAGTTAGAATCAGTTCAAGTGAATCCTGATTTAATGGCAGAAAGCAACAAAGATCAGATCTTTCACTTTTTGTTCAGTTATTCACTTGTTAATATAGTAAAAATATGTTTGACAACGAGGGCTGTCGCCATAACCGCAATATTGCAGTACCATGCTACTGACAGGCCAACCGCAGAGGAATGCAAGTAACCGTCGCAATATTTACGTGTTTTCTTTTTTCATAAGTCTATACCCTTCTTGTTTTGAACTTCCTGCATGTGTATTGAATGTTAAGTTAATAATGATAACAAGGCTGTTTTTATCATGGTGATTTCTACAGAGGCTTCGTGGATTTGCACTTAAAGGCCCCCTATTATGGATTTTTGAAAATGACCTTTCCTGTAGTGTGTAACATAGCTCTAAGTGAATTAAAACATCCTGCAAAGTTTTAAATCTGAAACTGCACCGTATATAAAGTTATTGTCTTTCGAAAGTAAGAGTCAACTAGGGCTGTCAAAATTGCTCAAAAATGACATTCAAATATTCCCTCTAAAAAAAACACATATATTCAAACTATTCGAACATCTGGTTGCGCATTTTGTCAATGACGCGCATTATGTCAATAACAGGACAAATTAATACAAAGAGACATAACTACCTGTATAGGTAGTTTATTTAAGTTTAAACATATTTGACAACGTATTTCCTACACAAAAACAAGTAAATCAACTAATGGCCAAGACCGCATCTCACTATCGCTCGCTCGCTCAATCGCACTCGCAGGCACTCTTTCTCTCTCTCGCCCTCACCCTCACCCTCACGCTCTCTGCGGATAACGGTTTAAATTAACAACAACAATAAACAAATGTAGAGTGCTGATCAAGAGTTTTGTGCAAGCAATTTAAGGTCGGGACTCTTGTCCCAAATATAGCAGGCTTCATTCAGTGATTGAAACAAATATTAGTAAGTAACATTAATTAAAGTTTTACAGTAGGCTTTATTAAACCGACATTGTACGCTCCGAGCGAGCTGTGCTGTGGTAAACATGGAGCTTTTCCTTGACATAAAATTGTAAATAATCAAACCAGTGGAAGCATGCAGTGCATGAAACTGCTGTATCTAACCTACCTTATTCATGCAATATCTATTTAGACAGTACAGTAAGCCTATACACTCACCGGCCACTTTATTAGGTACCCCATGCTAGTAACGGGTTGGACCCCCTTTTGCCTTCAGAACTGCCTCAATTCTTCGTGGCATAGATTCAACAAGGTGCTGGAAGCATTCCTCAGGGAGTTTGGTCCATATTGACATGATGGCATCACACAGTTGCCGCAGATTTGTCGGCTGCACATCCATGATGCGAATCTCCCGTTCCACCACATCCCAAAGATGCTCTTTTGGGTTGAGATCTGGTGACTGTGGAGGCCATTTTAGTACAGTGAACTCATTGTCATGTTCAAGAAACCAATTTGAAATGATTAGAGCTTTGTGACATGGTGGAAGTAGCCATCAGAGGATGGGTACATGGTGGCCATAAAGGGATGGACATGGTCAGAAACAATGCTCAGGTAGGCCGTGGCATTTAAACGATGCCCAATTGGCACTAAGGGGCCTAAAGTGTGCCAGGAAAACATCCCCCACACCATTACACCACCACCACCAGCCTGCACAGTGGTAACAAGGCATGATGGTTCCATGTTCTCATTCTGTTTACGCCAAATTCTGACTCTAACATCTGAATGTCTCAACAGAAATCGAGACTCATCAGACCAGGCAACATTTTTCCAGTCTTCAACTGTTCAATTTTGGTGAGCTCTTGCAAATTGTAGCCTCTTTTTCCTATTTGTAGTGGAGATGAGTGGTACCCGGTGGAGTCTTCTGCTGTTGTAGCCCATCCGCCTCAAGGTTGTGCGTGTTGTGGCTTCACAAATGCTTTGCTGCATACCTCGGTTGTAACGAGTGGTTATTGCAGTCACTGTTGCCCTTCTATCAGCTCGAACCAGTCTGGCCATTCTCCTCTGACCTCTGGCATCAACAAGGCATTTCCGCCCACAGAACTGCCGCTCACTGGATGTTTTTTCTTTTTCGGACCATTCTCTGTAAACCCTAGAGATGGTTGTGCGTGAAAATCCCAGTAGATTAGCAGTTTCTGAAATACTCAGACCAGCCCTTCTGGCACCTACAATCATGCCACGTTCAAAGTCACTCAAATCAACTTTCTTCCCCATACTGATGCTCGGTTTGAACTGCAGGAGATTGTCTTGACCATGTCTACATGCCTAAATGCACTGAGTTGCCGCCATGTGATTGGCTGCTTAGAAATTAAGTGTTAACAAGCAGTTGGACAGGTGTACCTAATAAAGTGGCCGGTGAGTGTACGTTAGTTATGTTCCCTCAGGCAGCGCGCCCACTCGCAGCAGACAGCCGCGCCTCTGCTACTGCGGGCGTGTTTTTCCACATTCGAATATTCATTTTCACCTTCGAATTTCAGATTTTTAAAACTATTCGAATATATATTTGAATTTAGAATATTCGTTGATAGCCCTAGAGTCAACCGATTCAATTAAACTAATCGTTTTAGTCTTTAGTTTTTAAGTCATAAGCCGTTTCATTGTGACGTCAAGACGAAACATTGGCATATTCCCCGCCCACTTATTACATGCGCAGACACCAGGGAAAACTTGAACCTCAAACACAGCTGATTCCTGTGGACACTGGATAGCATCATGTCGAGAAGACGCTGTGCTCTATAATGTGAAGGTAAAGCCAGTTTTTTTTTCACTGCCCAAGGGTGAGCATGTGAAGAATCAGTGGTTAAATTAATCTTTACCACAATACCACAGCAGTATTTTCCTAAACTTTTGCTGTGTTCCCTTTATTTCACTGACGACTGCTACTTAAATTTCGGAGTTCAATACAGTATTCGCAAACCGCTTCTGCTGATCAGCTGTGGGCCACTATTACCTAAAACTGTGTATTAATGTAGATTGTCTGTCATTCTCACTAGTTTGAGTAAAGATTAAGCATGGAGCAAATTTTGTTTTACCAACGTTTATGTTACATCAGTCATTCACGCTAGAGCTCGGCTAATGTATTGCATAACTTACATGCACTGCTGTTATTGATACAGTTTCACCGTTTTCACCGCAATATATTCGAAAAATACTCTAATCGGTTAATGGACATGCACTTGTTAATGCTGATGCTGAGGAATTACAGTTGCAACATCTCATATTGTACTTCAAACGGAGAAACGTCCTGCTTGAGTTGTCCTTGCGATGGAGGTTCGGGTTGAATAACTAGTTCTTCCAGTGTTTCATTATTGGACTCGCGCTCGCATTGAAATTGGTAAAATTGATGTCATTGTTCGTTACGGTAGTAATAGGAAACGATTGATGTCATTCTTTAGTGTAGGGAATCTCAGGACACGCAGGGCTGACGTTGTTATGGCATTGGCGTTTTTGTTTTCGACAAGCGTGCTGTACGCAGTAAACCAGTCACAAACGGACTGTCATTTGAGAATCATTGAAAATCTGGTGATGTGCAAATGTATATTGGTGGTCCTTACAATTGCGCCGCCCAAACCCCCCATAAGCGGCCTCAAAACCGTTCTTCAAAAAGTCTATGGGTGACGTCACAGACGCTTTGTCCATTTTTTTACAGTCTATGGTTACACACTTGACAAAAAATAAATAAATAAAAGCCCCCTGGCTCTTAACTTTGAGGACCAATAACGTAATCAATAATACAGAACTTACAACTAGCTCTTAACTATCTCTATGTCTTCTTTTTCGTCTCTCTCTTTTGTGTTTTCTCTTTTAGTCCCGCCCCCTCAAAAACCCGATAGGTTCCCAAACTGCTCTCTGATTGGATAATAAACAAAACTGACACCTGGCCACCCAATACAAAAGAAAATGACCAGGGAGGTTCAAGGGCTACTCACAACAGAGGATATTTCAACACCTCACAATTTATTAACACAAATAATACAAAAACAAAAAAGAAAAGGTGTTACCAGGGACAATTGAACTGGCCCATATTTCATGATATAGCTACTATATTTCTGTTAGCAGAACACAAAAGAAACAATATAAACATTTAGCAGGGTGCTACATCAATAATATTCTTGTTCTCCAACTTATAAAACACAAATCTTGTGGCATTTCACAGCAACACTAGTTTATTAGTTAACTAACTACACGTTTGCTTTATGTGAATCTAACAAAAATTTGCTCACTGTGACACAGAACAATGCTTTCTAATATGAGTCACTAGATTACTTGATTGGGTGAAACTCTTCCCACACTGAGTACAGTTGTACGGCTTCTCTCCAGTATGAACTCGCTCGTGTGATTTCAGGTTTCCAGAATGATTGAAACTCTTGTCACAATATGAGCACTTGTGAGGTTTTTCTCCAGTATGAATTCTTTGATGCAGTTTCAGACATTCAGCTCTAGTAAAGCTCTTCCCACAGTCACAACACACATGATCTCTCACTTCATTATGTGTTTTCTGGTGAAGTTTAAAACTACCCAGCCTTGAAAAACTCTTTCCACAGAGAGAACACACATAAGGCCTCTCATCTGAATGAACTTTTAGGTGATCTTTTAGTTTTGCTGATGAAATAAAATCTTTACCACACTGATCACAGTTAAATGGCTTTTCTCCAGAGTGATGGAGAAGATGATAACGGAGACCTGATGCTTGAGAATAACTCTTTCCACACTGAGTGCATGTATACGGTTTCTCTCCAGTGTGAATTCTCCTGTGTTTGTTAAGGTTCCCTTTGTGTGTGAAACTCTTTCCACAGAGAGAACACACATAAGGCTTCTCATCTGAATGCACTTTTAGGTGATCTTTTAGATTTGATGATGAAATAAAATCTTTACCACACTGATCACAGTTAAATGGCTTTTCTCCAGAGTGATGGAGCAGATGAACACTGAGAGTTGATGCTTGAGAAAAACTCTTTCCACACTGAGTGCATGTATACGGTTTCTCTCCAGTGTGAATTCTCATGTGTTTGTTAAGGTTTCCTTTATGTGTGAAACTCTTTCCACACTGAGTGCAGGTGTGCGTCTTTTTGGCTTTTGTTCTTTGAATTGTAAAGTTACAATGTTCCTCCTCCACTTCATTCAGTTCTTGTCTTTGCTCTTTCACTCTCACCTGGTCTAAAATACACAGAAATACAGTTAGTATCAGTTCAAGTGAACCCTTATTTAATAGCAGAAAACAACAGAGATCAGATCTTTCACTTTTTGTTCTGTCAATCATTGTTAATATAGTAAAATATGTTTGAAAACTGCTATATACAAGGTTATGATGTATTGGATGTATTTATCATTTATCATCCATATACTGCTTAATAATTCACATCTACCAAAGCATCAACAATGAAGATCCAAGAATGAACACCAACCTATTTGTTCCTCAGTATCTTCATGTTTTATTCTGGATGGTTCTGGATCACTCATGTCTTCAATCTCCTCTTTAATAAACTCCATCTTTAACAGTCACACAGATTTCAGCTGCTACTCCTGGAGTTTGTCCTTCTCTTGTAGGATGATGGGAATATTCCCAGTATTTATTGGTGAATTACTGTGGGAGGGGCTTCACTGCAGGTGTGAACTGTGATCACTGTGTTTTTATCCAATCTGCATTTAAAAAGTACAGGAACATCATGTTTAACTGAGTTTTGTTTAGTTTGTGCTTATCTTGGCGAAAGCCGAGTACAAATCAGCATGAAGTTTTAACATCTACTCTCGTGTAATGGAAATCATGAAGCTCTGGATACGTCCAGTGACTGCGGTGAATAGTGCTGCTGGCAACAAGGGAAATACCTTGTGACAGCCTGGAGAGACAGCTGACAGGAGGAAAGAGACCCCAATGGGGCTGGTAAGGGTTAGTGTCTGCAGTATCCAGCTCCGTGTTTGCTTCATCTATTTACGCTTCTTTCCATATGGTGGTGTGACTCCCCTTCTGTACGGCGTTAACGGGTGCAGTGTACTTGGCGCGTCAGCACACATGACGGCTGCAACTACAGTGTGGTCTCCCTAGTGGACTAGCACGACAACCGTCTGGATTGAGCCGAGTAGGGGACATCTCTAGGGTCTTCAAGTGGGCACCTTCCGTCCTCCGTGTTTCGTCGACTAGCCCACGACACCTCAAGAGGGCTCGACAGTGACTCTGGCGTCCCAGAGTCACCCCCCTTCGTCCCCCACTCAACTCAGCCCAGCTTACTGACCTCTACATCCCTCCTGCTGCTGAGACCTAACCACAATCTCTCCACAACCCAACCATGCGCGCCAACCCGTTTGACTAAGGCTGTCAAGCCTCACTGGTGCGTTAATGCAGTTTCAGTACCAACAGTTCCGTATGGCATACCACCTACCGCAAAATACAATATCTGCCCAACCACCCGTCATTCACGCAATATACACAGGAACGTAATGACTGTAAAAACTATACAACTGTAAGGAATCTGGGTCATAAGCTCTTTAATCAATTTTGATTTTGGGGAATAAATATTCAACAGTTATTAATCTCTGATCAACAAATTATCGAATATAGTTTGAGCCGAGTCCTTGCATAGATAAATCACCCAACGACGGGTCGTACAGCATACACGTCTGTTCAGGGCATATATACACAATTCACACCACGAATTATGAGGAATTGTGAATATACATCCTACCCAGAGGGTTATAGCTGATCTTTAAGATTACCCCCGCGATTGATATCTCGTTAAGCCAGCACGTCCGCCGCGCTGTTTCTCTAGAGGTTACCAATGGCTGGTGGTCTTATTTTAGCTTAAATTTACTGACAATGTTTTGTGCACTTAACAATTATCAGATTGTAGCTAGGATCTTTATATTAAAGAGGCTTTGTTATGTGATCAACAACAAACACAGAGGCAATAAAGTATAAATGAGGTTTAATGAACTACACTACATGTAAAACAAAGATATATATATGAAACCAAAATGAACTTAAACACTAAGAAAAGAAGGTAGAAACACAGGGAAAAACACAATTGCTAGCACAGTTAGGTCCTCAGAGACAGCCTACAGATTACACACTTCAGAGCGTCTAAATTTAGATGGAACAGTTTGCATTCAGACCTGGTTAGAGCGGTGTGGAAGCAAGCTCGTGGCGTCCTGGGAATAGGAGGCGGGCTTCTTTGATTCCTCCAAGCGTGGTTGTCGCGGGAGATTTAAAAGTTCTAACGCAGTTCTGTATGCGTGAAGAAGATAGTCCTTTCGCTGGGATGCTGGAAGACTAACGAAACGCACGTGGGTATCTCGAGGACCGCACTAAGGACAGACTGGCTATACGCAAAATAAAACGAAGACAAAATAAAACAGGAACAAAATAAAACACGCAGATTACATCGGGATACAGGAACAGGGAACAGAGAACAGAGAACAGAGAACGAATGTCTCTGAGTTTGGGGTTTTAAAGATAAACAGAACACGCCTTGGATAGGTGTGTCGGCCAATGATAATGGCCCATCTTGAAGAGGGCCTACGCCCCCCGAGTGGGTCATTCGGAATCAATTTGCATCTTTATGACTAGAAGGACCTTAAGCTTACTTTGAAAATGGCATATATAGGTAGTTATCTATATTTCACGCTATCGATATACAGCTTAACGAATAGATCAGATTTTTAGGGTTACAAACATATCAAACATCACACGTCACAGACATAATATTGCAGAGTTACCTCTTAATGCACACTTTCAGGTATTTATAAGTGTCTTACATTCATGAAAACATTCGTAGGACATGTTTGCACACTTATAGTTCTGTTACAGGTATTTTAATACACCAACTCTGTTTTAATGCCGATTTATAGATAGAAACTTAGGGTTCATAGGTATGTGTGTGTGTGAACATACGTGTGTGCGTATCTTCATTTGAACATCTGGCACCCCCCCCTTCTCGCCGGAGAGGGGTGTTAGAGATAACGGTCTTCTTTGATCGTGCCTCGCGAATGAATCGGGCTGGCACGAGGAGGTCTGGGTGTTGTCTCAGGAGGGGGGAATTCGCTGTTTAATGGACATTCAGGACCATTTATCACCATAAATGTTTGAAAGTCCATTTGCTCTCTAGACTTCTCGGCGCCAGTTTGGAAGGTTGGAGACCTTATCACGGGACCACATGGTAATAGGTATGTGGGTTGGTTAGGGTTCTTTGTTAACTTTTTTCTGTTGTGAGTTAAGGATTTTACTACAAGAGAATCAATGATTGTCCCTTCAATCCCTACACAACCTATACAAATAAACCAACAGACTCTTCAAGTTTTTCAAGAATTATACGAAACCGTAGCGTGGCGGCCTGTACACAGCCAGCTAGAATCTTTCCGTCTCAACCACAGCCAGTTGCTGCTCCTTTCTGCTGCTTCAGATAAGTTCTTTACTGTGCGACGCAGCTCTTGGCCACTGAATCCGACGTCTCTGAGGAACCGGATTGTAGAGTGTGCCACAAAACCTCGACAACCCACTTCCACTGGATAAACCTGGACTCTCCATCCTCGCTGTTCTGCTTCAGTGGCCAGATGAGCATACCGCAGTTTCTTCCTCTCATCTACCGCATCCTCTCATGGCACTGTTAACTCTATCAGTTGAACAATGCGTGCTGATCCAGACCACAAAACAATATCTGGTCGTAGGTTAGTGGTGGCAATCTCAGGTGGAAAAATAAGCCGTTGATTAAGATCAGCCAGCATCTTACAGTCCTTAGCAGCTTCCAGTTGTCATGGGCGAGAAATGGTGTTAACACCTTTTCTTGGTAGTTGCTCGCCTGGCCGGAGGAATATTGTCTTCTGCGTGTAATGTTTTGCTAGAACAGGCGGCAACTTATTGGTCATACTACGCTTGCCTTCCAATGCTAAAGCCAAACATCGCAGTACTTGGTCATGGCGCCAAGTAAACCGACCTTGGCTAAGAGCCACCTTACATCCTGTCAAAATGTGCCTTAATGTGGCAGGTGATGAACACAAGGGACAAGAGGGATCCTCTCCTACCCAGAGGTTTAGGTTCTGCGGTGAGGGGAGAACATCATATGTTGACCTAATAAGGAAACTGATCCTACACTCTTCCATTGACCAAAGGTCTTGCCAGCCCATCTTGCGTTGTTCCACACTCTCCCATCTCATCCACTCTCCCTGCTTGGCCTGGGAAATGGCCTTTATACACCTCATCCTCTCCTCCTGCTTTCGCACCTCGTTGACTACCAGCTTCCTCCTTTGAGCTGGGCCTGCCTTGTGCCATTTAGGAGGAGATAAACTGAGCCCAAAACCCCCTCTTCCATGCTGTACCTGTCCCACGATATCCCCATTTTGAAAGTCAGCCTTTGCCTCTACTACAGATTTCTTTGCTGACCACTTTCTACCAGTTTTTAACACAGGGGCTGCCTCCCTTACACTTTTGTCGCGTGACTCTTCTAAGGTAATTTCCAGTCTGACCTTGGCACACTTAAACTCCTCGGTTAAAGCAGAGACTGGCAGCTGCAATATTCCTTTACTATAAAGTCCCACTCTGCTGAGGCAGCGTGGAACTCCCAACCATTTCCTGATGTATGAACTTATTAACGCTTCCAGCTTATCCACGGTTGTCAAAGAAACCTCGTACACAGTCAGTGGCCACAGCAACCTCGGCAGTAGACCAAACTGAAAGCACCAGAGTTTTAGTTTTCCCTTCCACTGCTTGTCGTCTAACTTCTCCCACTCGAACTGTGTCCTTTAGATCCCCATCGTACCATCTCCCAAGACTCTTCACTGGCTTCTCAGAAACTGTTGGTATTGCCTCACCATTAATGAAGAATGTTTTATCTACTACCTTTCCTTTAACTATCGAGATGCTCCTTGATTTAGAGGGCTTAAATTGCATTCGTGCCCATTCAAAATGATCTGTTAACTTCCCCAATAACCGATTAGTGCAGGCTACTGTTGTAGTCATGGTTGTCATGTCATCCATGTATGCTCTGATTGGTGGTAGTCGCATCCCAGAAGCCAAGCGCTCTCCTCCTACTACCCATCTTGATGCCCTAATGATTACTTCCAGCATGGTAAAAGCCAGTGGAGAAATGGTGCATCCTGCCATTATTCCAACCTCTAAGCATTGCCATGCAGTGCTGAATTTTGGAGTTGAGAAACTAAACTGCAAATCTCCCAAATAGGCTTTCACTAAATTTGTTATTGACATTGGTACTCTGAAAAAAAATCAAATGCTGCATTTTACACGACAAGAAGTCAAAAGAGAGCGCGCTGCCTGTGAATGTCCTGAATGTGACTCACAGAAAAACGCGCGCCAGTATAATGCGCATGCACAGACCGCGTGCCAGAATACAGTTCTCTTTCGAGCTTGAACGAACAATAACACACACAATTATGCCAAAATGTCATTTTGTCAATTATCTTCATAACATAAGAGTAGTCTTATGATGGACGAAAAGAGTTGTGCTTGTGAGAGAATGAGGCGCGTGAGAGATCCGCGTCTCAGCAACGGCTGCTCTTAAAGGGCCAGCAGCGAATGCTTTCTGTCAGTAAAGTTAATCGAAGAACAAAGGGAACAGAAAATTACTCACTGCTCTTGACTAAAGAAGTTTTGTAGCTTTAATAAGGATTAGTCTATATAT